CTTTTGATTTGCATTATTCTGGTTGTGTTCTGCCTGTGATATGCATTATTATCTGTGTAAACTCACTGTGATGTAAGTGGTCAAAGAGGCCATAACACATCATCCAATCAAGCGCTACAAAATGCTGTTGCATTTGCAATTCCCTATGGATGTATTACCTGATCCCATTGCGATTGCGCGTTAGTTTTACTGTGTTTTGTCGAAAGAATTTTGCTGCAGACTTTACGAATACCTTTAAGCAAGTGACAACGCAATATCGTGAGTGGAAAATTGTCGCTTAAAACAATATCAAGTTAAGTTCTGTACAAGGTTCTTTGTGAGTCATGGCATATAACTTTTGAAGTAATGATGTAGTTGTGACCATTTATAACTCATTTTGAAGGAAAATTATCTAGCTTTCGATACATAGGCCTCGGTGGGGCCTCAAAATATTTTTACGAGGTGAACTTTGATTGAGGAGGGGGTGGTTTCGTTGTTACATCCCTTTCCTTTTATATTAATAGGATAGGGCCTATATACCAATATGTCTTTCTAACGCTGTTTCTAAGCACTGTACCTATGTGGGGAATGTCGGTCTTCGGTGTAACGTGCGAACGCTTTAACTACAAGGATACCCCACCGCCCCGAGTGAGCGGGAGAGTTCGATGTCAACTTGAATGCACATTCATTTCTTTTTTCACTAAGCAGCAAAAGAAACGTCAGTTTGGAATTTTCCTTCTCAGAAACGGAGAACTGTAAACTCAATCAATGTCTTGATTGTATAGTTTTTGACAACATCTCCAACTTTACCTGAGCAAAGACATTCCTTCCCAAACTCAGAATTGAACCCAGGAAATGGTCTCAAAAACCCAACCTATCTCGGAGATGGTGCAGTGTTCTCGTTTTTCATGCAACTCATGCTGAACGTGCTGTTCACAAGGACCAGCCCTATAAAATGCACCCATAAATCTGGTTGAAACATTCACATTACACGCGACTCACGACAGCTCAGAGGAACCAGGCGCAAGGAAGACTTGAAGGTGACCACACTGCACAAGCCGTGGCCAATCACTTCCGGGTCAACGTTCGTACAATCTACAGGCTGCAGCAACGTTTCCAGGCCACCAACACCACAAATGATCGTCCCCGTACTGGCAAAGCAAGGGTGACCACAAGACGACAAGACCGCTAGTTGTGTGACAGCATGTATAGAATCCCTTCAAGCAGGCATCCGAAACAGCACGCCAGACAGTGGGAACACACGGAAGACCAATCAGTACTGATACAATACGCCAACGTCTTAACAGCAGGAACCTTCATTGACGTAGACCTTACCATGGACCTATTCTCACCCCTCGTCATCGGCGTGAACGTCTACAGTTTGTCCTACAACACCAAAACTGGCGATAAAGGAAATGGAGAACTGTTCTGTTCACAGATGAGAGTCGGTACTGCGTATCAACTGCAGATGGCCGAACAAGATTATGGCGACGACGTGGCCAGCGTTACTCAGACCAATGTGTTATGGAAAGAGACGCATGGGGAGGTACAAGCATCATGGTATGGGGTGGAATAGGCCTGAACCAGAGAGTAGGTCCTGTGGTGTTCTAGAACCTTGGTCCAGAGAGAGGAGGCGGCATCACAGCGGTGCACTACATTTACCAAGCTCTCAGACACCATACCATACCACATTTCACACGTCACCGGAACAACATTTTCCAGCATGATAACGCCCGGGCCCATATACTGTCAGAGCTACATGGGACTTCCTACAGCAAAACGGTGTCAATATTATGCAGTGGCCAGCCCTTAGTCCTGATTTAAACCCAAGCGAACATCTTTGGGATGAAATTCAGAGGAGACTGAATAAAGTCATACCAAGGCCGAACACAGCCGATTTATTGCGCCAGGCCTTTCTCAGAGTGTGGTTCCAGGTGCCAATGGCCTTCATCAATCGATTGGTGCACTCCATGCAAAGAAGCTGTGCTGCAGTAATTGCCGCTCGTGGTGGTCACACTAGATACTGAAGTAATGTTTCACCTATGACATACGACTGAAGGAGCACAAAACATTTGTACAAAAAATGGACCAAAAATCAGCTCTCTCAGAGCACATCGTCAAAAACCCTACCCAATCCATTGATTAGCAACAATCAACCATATTATTCGCCTACATCTCATTTCGCCTACATCCCATTTCGCATACAAAAACAATGTAGGCTAATTGGGATTAAAAATGCAGCCCTACTCTTATAATGAACCTGACTCACTGGTCAGGGCCATACTAATCAGGTAAATCTACCAAATTATCCTGACTCATCTCTAAATTACTTTTTAACGACACACATTTTGGAAAAAAGTAAGCATAAATGGATAATGAATATTAAATATATTTTTGACGAAATTGGACTTAGTTATATCTGGAATTCCATAAATTTTGAAAATTTGAATAAACTAAAATTACAGTTATGATGATATGTAGTTGAGTAAAGAGGATTGGTGCATCCACCAAGAAGTTGAAACAAGGTTATAATACAATACTCAGTTGTCTGCTACTAACAGGCTTAAAACCAACTTAACCATATAAAATGGAGTGTTCGCCAAGCACTGACAGTCACAATAGCTAACGTGCAGAGGGCAGAGTTCCTCTTGTCTCAGAGAGGAGGAAGATAGATACTACATGATGGCCACAAGTATCGACTGAATGTTGTGAGACAAGTAGCCACACACTGGAAGAGCGTCATAGATAAATATAAAGGTTAATGCAGTAGCATTGGCTACCACGTATCTTCCATCACAGAGCACCCACCTCTGATGAATGAAGAAGAGACTCCTCACCAGACTGAGACAAGGTGCTCGTGATGAAGTGAGAATGGACAAGCAAACGTGCTTAACAAAATTGTGATACGATGTGATATAATGTGAATATCATTGGGATCGGAAAATGACAAATAACAGAGTAAATAAATTAAAGATAAATAACAGAAATAAATTCTTTAAAAAATGCTTTTTGTCCTTCAACTTCTTCAACTAGAAGAGTGCACTTTTAGTCCATAGGGGTGCCACTAGTTTATCATTGCGTAATCGACAGTCAACAGACCGTGAAATGTTGCAAATTGGGATATAGGCGAAATGAGAACATACCGGTGAAACATACCGCCCATTTGACATACGACTGAAGGAGCACAAACATCTGTACAAAAAATGGACCAAAAATCAGCTCTCTCAAAGCACATCGTGAAAAACCCTACCCAATTCATTGACTGGCAACAATCAACCATATTAACCACTAATGTCCATGATTGGCGCAAGCGCAAAGTATTAGAATCTTTAACGAAAAGACAATTACAACCGCAGCTGAACAGGGATCAAGGAGTGTACCTCCCTAGTGACTGTGAAGTCAATTAGCTCATTACTGGCTTCTACCCACATCTACTAATCACTTGTATAAACTCTTCTCTTGTATAAACATACCCATTATCTGTACATCTCACTCTTTCATCTCCCGTATCTTATCCAATTCATTGTATATACATGCAACACTGGCTTCTTGTACATTTAGTACATATACTCATTGATGTATCTTGCTTGTTACCGACCACCTCCGTGGTGTAGTTGTTAGAGCGTCCGCCCGGACAGTGGAAGGTCGCGGGTTCGATCCCCGATCGCGTCATACCAAAAGACGATAAAATATGGTACTTGTTGGTCCCTGCCTGGCGCTCGGCATTAATGGGTACATCAAGGACTGGTCGGCTCGGAGTCAGTATAATGTGTCTGAGTGGGGTATTCATGCTTCACTGCGGCATGGTATCTCAGTGGGCTAGCACTATAAAACTGGGCTAGCTGGGCTAGTACAAGTAGCCGCACATACACATACACACGCATGTACGTCGTCATATGAGCGAAATATTCTCAAGCACGACGTTAAACCCAATTTCACCTCACCTCACCTCTTGCTTGTTACCATTCACCTGCCCAAGGGGCAAGGAATAGCCCAGAAACCTTGTGACATACAATAAAGAAGACGTTGTCATCCATAATATTTGCGTTTTACTTTTTTTATATGTATATGGAACCTCAGAAAAGGCTTCTTGTGTCTCGAATTTCCCTTCACTCAAACTTTGTATTGTTTCTACGTTCTCGTTGTAATAATATTTGCGTTTTACTTGAACACCAACCTCATACACACATACGTTTTTCCACTAACCACGACTATGGTACGCATTCTACACTGAAAAGACATAATCGTTCCATAATGTACAAGTCAGGGTTCATATGTATGTTCAAAAAGAAGCCTTCCACTGTCTTGAATTAAATCTGTTGGTGGCCATGAAATATATATCCCCTGCGTCCTGTTTGTGATACCTGTGATTTCTAAAGAGGTAGCTGGGTGGTTTTAAATAAAGCCAAACATGTAAAAAATCATGCGAATATAATAACAACGTAGACACAATACCTTGATTGGTAGTAAAATATCAGTGGAGGTAACCCTTGCCCCATCTCCGTAGGAGTCTATATGTCAACCTTGTATATCATAAAACATCCCAGCAGTGTCAATTCAGCCAATGTACATTACATGACTTTTTCTGTAATATAAACTGTCAAGCCGTTGTGTGCATTTATACATCCAGGCAATGCATCGAGATAATGATGTAGTCATGTTACCTCAGACCTTGGATCTGTATGTATGAATCATTTGTTATGAGGGTGTATAACTATTCTACCTTTTCAAATTTACGTTTCCCCGATGTCACAGCTATGTCAAGGCATGATCTCATCTAAAATATTTCACACAGACACAAGACTCAAGTTCGTGTCAGTCATGCGATCGCTGTTCAAAACTATTTACGTTTTTCCAACAATGATATAGGATACTGGCTGCCACTTTGTGACCGTTGTTCAACCATGATTTATTGCTGTCTGCCTTGACCCGTAAGCATTGTGGGACGGGTAACCGATACCTGCCCTTGCATGCAGACTGCAATTGTACTTTTTCCATTGTTCCACACGGGTGGGCACCAGACAACACCAGTCTACGTGGATTCGCCACGACAACATGGGCGCCATCTGGAGGTACCGCTGATCTGTTTGTTGCCTCATTCAGTAGTGACAATAGACAATATCTTCCCAACAACTATGACAGTGAGAATACTGTGTATCAGCGTTCTGTTCCTTGCTGCAGGTAAGTGGTGCCTCGTCATGTATCCATTGATAATATCATGAAAACAATATTGAGTATTGATCAGCGTTCTAGTTCCTTGCTGTAGGTAAGTGGTGCCACATCATGTATCCACTGGTTATATCATGAAAACAATATTCAGTATTGATCAGCGTTCTGTTCCTTGCTGCAGGTAAGTGGTGCTTCGTCATGTATTCACTGGTTATATCGCGATGGGAATAACAAACCAATCTTTTTAAATAAATGCGTTACTAATAACAATGAATGACGTAACGTCAATCCCAATTATTCGGAAAAATTCACAGTACGCACAACACTTGCATTGATATTGCAAATCTCATACATGAAAGACAATGGAGTCTATTTTTAAAAATAAGTGACAAAGTGATTACAACCGGATTTCACAGATGTCGCCAATGAACATAGAATGCCCAGTACGCAAGCCGTTGATTTAAGGATCTGTTCACAGCTTCCGACCCCTGCGCCGACCACAAGTACATCTACGACAACGGGGGACGCAATCCTAAATGTCCCTACCAGCCGGAGGAGTGTGACCGCTACATCACGGAGAACTGGTACCAGGTGGTCAACTACCATGGGGCTCTGGAGATGCCAACATCCCACGTGGACATCAACAGCTGCGGCGCCAACTACCCCGGTTGGCTGAATGGTTCGTTTTAAGGGACCGACGTTTTCTCCCCTTTTTTGGGTGTGTGTGTGTGTGTGTCTGTCTGTCTGTCTGTCTGAATCTGTCTGTCAACAAGCACTGTCTCGCTACAAAATTATGAGTATCAAGAAACGTTTATGATGAAATTTGCAAAATATATCGGTTTAGGACAGATGTCAGATAAGATATAGCTATCTACTACGAAACAACAGCATCGAAAAGGTTTACTGATCGATCATTTGCTTTGTGTTGATATCAGCTATTATAAACTTATTCGGATTTTGCGAAACTCAAGGACGTTAATAGCGACGGAAAACATATTGCGTCATTTCTAAGAGGTCATTTCTAAGCGTCATGGCTGCTCTCGGAAGTTTGAGAGCGATCGATAAGGACCTTTGTTTCACAGGCATTTGAATAACCATTCAATATAAAGGAACCATATCATTACTGTTTTAATGTTTGTCTGTAGTTTAGGGGATATCAATCTTCTACGAACGAAAACTGTTTTTGGCAGGTTATACTTCATGCCTCACAGTTTTCATTTTTGTGAACAGCATGCAGCATAAATTTTCTTTTAAGCATTTTCTGGGGCAATATATGTCATACGTGATCCCTTAGAATATCAAATTGTGTGTTCCTGAGGTAGAGTACTTGTATATATGTATGACGTTGGTATACTCAGCAAAACTGAATACTTGACACTGATAAATTGCGACATTTTCTTTTTCTGTTTAATCATATAAATTTATAGGTATATTAAAAAGTAGTAATCGGTGTGAATGCTTTAATTTTGTGAAATTGTACGTTCTCGAGCAAACTTTGACTTTGTAGCGTATAAAGATAAACAACACGAAACAAACGCGTGAAAAGCAAATTCATTCGGTGCATGGAAAAACAAATTATACTTTTCATTTTAATCTTTGTTTGGAGATGCCACGCCTTTCAAATCAAGAACGTCAGCGTGCTATGGGGAGGCTTGATGCTGGTCAGTTTGTGGTCGCTGTTGCAAGAGCCTTTGATTGCTCACGACAAACAATTTTTAATCTTAGGATGAGAGTGCATCAAACCGGAACTGTTGCCGACTGCCCGAGGCCGGGAGCGTAACGAGTGATGTTACTCCCGGAAGATCAAGCAATACGATTACGTCATATTCGGAACAGATTTGTTACTGCAACGTCCACAAGTAGGGAGATGTTTGGTGGAAGGATAACTACACAAACTGTCTGAAATCGCTTACTTGCCGCTGGACTTCGCGTCCGAAGACCCCAAAATGAACCAAATTTAGCGCCAGACCGACTGGTGTGTGCCACAAGACACATAAGGTTCAATCAAAGGCAGAAGAATTCGGTTTTCTTCAGCGACGAATCTCGATTCATATTGAGGTTTTGCCGACGGCAGGACCCGAGTGTACAACAGGCGAGGTGGCGTTGCGTGACTGTAAGAGACGCTAGAGGAAGCCACAACTCTTACTGGAGGCCTGAATTGAATTGTTCTCCACTCTGTGAACTTCATTTTGGAGGGTGCCTTGACATCATGAACTTCATCGTTGTTAAAGTGTTTCGGCAAGACTTGTTGTTTTTACTTTAATGTCAAGATGTTCCGTGCACAGCATACAGCTAAAATTATTGTCTTAAACCTAATATTAAAAACCTAGTGTCAAGTTTTCGGTTTTGCTCAGTATATTTTACGCTGATTCATTTGTTTTACCCAGGAACCCTTCCTTCTGTCACCGACGGCATCGTGAACATGACTGTTTGTGTCAGCTTCTACAACGAACCGTGCAAGAAACAAGTTTCAATCCAGGTGAAAAACTGTGATCATTTCTATGTGTACTTCCTAGTGAAGATGGACGGCTGTTCTGAGAGATACTGCTTTGGTAAGTACACATTATATAATTTGAGTGTGTGAGTGAGTTAGGATTTTAGTCACATCGGCAGTATTCCAGCCACATCGTGACTTGTATGATTTGAAAAGAGATGATGTTACAAGATATGATTTGAGACCATTTATTTCAGCATCGTTTGGTTCACATCTAACATCTAACTAAAATGTCACTCACTATCACAACATGTATATGGGTTTTACGTTTTAGTTTACGACGTTGAATATAGTGGTCATAGCCCTTATCTGTCGTATTCGTGTTGGCAGTGGGGTAGCCACGTTCATAGATACTCTTAAGCCCAGGTCTTTTCATCCAGAGCTTGTAGCAACGATCCAACCTGTGGGGATACGATGACACGCCACCAATACAGTCACCTTGCCTGACCACCCGATCCAATCAATTCCCTCTCACGCCCAGTGTGTGTGTCTGTCTCTGTGTGTGTCTCTGTGTGTGTCTCTGTGTGTGTGTGTCTCTCTCTCTGTGTGTGTGTGTGTGTGTGTGTGTGTGTGTGTGTGTGTGTGTGTGTGTGTGTGTGTGTGTGTGTGTGTGTGTGTGTGTGTGTGTTGCTGGAAACAATTCTAACCTGAATCAATACTGATTTTCAGCAATGTGATGTATGGACTAGAACTGAAGGCTAAAGATACAATAACTAACTCTGAGGGTTCTTCCGGTTTGATGAACATTAACAGCAATGTTTGTATTATCAATTACCACATGGGTGTCACTGAGGAATAAGTTAATGGCTGTGCTGTAGAGTTTATCTTTAACTGTGTTTCTGCTTAATACTCATTCGTGTGTATGCGGCATACTCCTACAGCTGATTTTTCCAAAGTGGTAAACGTCTGATGCTTGTGTCATGTGGGGCTTGTTTCCACATTAACCTAATAATCGTGATCTAAATGACTTCAACAAAACGTTAGACCCTATTTTCATTCACTCATAATATTCCGTGGACAAAAATATCTAAATATAATATGACGTGATATAACATGCATATTGTGTTGATTGTTTCAAATGACTGTTACCATCACGTGTTGCAGGTACTGATGGTGAATGTCCAACTACAACAGAAGCACCAACTACAACAGAAGCACCAACTACAACAGAAGCACCAACTCCGTCATCAACAGCTTCAACAGCACACACAACTGATAAACCCACATTTGCCTCTCCTCGTGGTAAGTGTTCATGAATGAACAATGACAATGTAATCCTATTAAAATACTATTCTTTCATAAAATGTTGTCTCTATCTGAATATTTGAGACATTATACATTCGCCAGTTACGTTCTGAAATGATAAAAGTAATGTGTACGTAACTCAAGATGCTGACTCAACTCACGTCAAAGCATTTATGAATTGATAACCAAGCGAAGTTCTAAGGTTTGTAGGTTTGTTGCATCGAATTACAACATTCAAGGCCTCAGCAAAGCTTTCAGGAAGTTTTATGGTAGACATGTGGAGGGAATTTCCAAATTTGATGCATCAGTAACAAAAATGATGTTCGATGAAATTCCCGAATTATTTCAAATGAACAAATGACTAGACTTAGCATATGTTTATGACAGATGTTTATGACACATGCTCTGTCATCGTATCGCATGTTTACAATCACTGGATGGTCTGGTTCAAACATGATTTGTTTACAGAGATCATCATACAGCTGTAATACTGCTGAAGCAAAAATTTGCTCATGATATAGTTACAATTGTACAATCGACTCTGCTTTTGGCGGAAATTTCTTAGGAATGTGGAAAGGGTTTTGTCGCTTCTATTCATATAGTGTTTTCAGAGTGTCCATTCGAAATCTACCGCACATTGACGATTTGCCTGGTAACCTTGTGGGCAGCAACTATGATGTTTGGTGTTATAAAGCTCTACCACAGTGAGTATTCTTTTGTTGTGAATAGGTCGTTTGGAGGAATTAATGTCTCTGATAACTTTAATTCAATTCTCGGTAAATTTGTTGACTTAAGAATTTATCGAAATTAATATATTCTCGGGGGTGATAATCTCCCTTTCAGTGCCATTTAAAAGGAAGTGTCCCCATATCATATTTTATATATAATAGAGCTGATATTTAGAAAATTGTGCAGGTGATAATCTGCTTTTCAATGCCATTAAATATTTTTGATGCACCAAAGTATATGGAAGTGCTGAGTGAAGCAACCTATGTATGAGATAATGGTAAATGATTCCAGACGTATTCAGCTACATAAGCACTCATATATCACACAAGGATACCTAAACATTTTTCGAACTGTGGTAATAATTTTGATTGAGTATGGTGGTAACGGTCCTTCTGTGTTAATAGTTTCCGATTAAATGTCACATTTTGTTATACTGAATAGATTCGGTTATCGCATTTATACCACTCATTTAAACCACTTAACATGCGTGCTCTGCTTTTCAAGACACATGGATGCAGGTATAGATACAAAATATATGTAAGATATGTTTTACTAACATCAAAGCTAAATCATTCATGTAAAGCATATTATCAAGCCAATGTTCACAAATGTACAGACTGCCATATTTTTCTTTATTGAATGTTGAAACATTTTTACAACTACATTATTTCGATACAATACTGTGATTTCTTTTGGTCTAGGATCGACCCGTCAGCGAGTAGTGGAAACAATGCCAGCAGAAAAAGTTACAATATAATCCGGCCTACATGTGGATCGTCGGTTGTTCGTTTCATTACACATGTCGATAATGTGTGTATGTTGAAGAGAACTGTATTTGTATATATCTAGATAGGACAACGTGAAGAACATCCATATTCTACTCATGTTATAGATTGTTTCTTTTTGGAATAAATGCATTCAAATGGCACCTGTATTGCATTTCTTGAGTTTGTAAATTTAAATTCAGGTAACTTCCTGGTGTTATGCGTGCCTGAATTTTTTTTCTACCTTGCTCAATGATTTTCTACTCAGTATATCCTGTTTAAAATTGGGACAGGTTTTCTGAAGTTACTACTGAAGTAATATGAAAGTTTCCACTCTTATGTAAGAGATGCTGTGAAGACTGAGTTCGACATTTGGCACCTTACACTATATTTTACACAGTTATTGAACTCCATCCATATTATGGATGGAGTTCAATAACTGTGTAAAACCTGTGGTACGGTACCATATTGTGTTAGGTGCATAGGGACCTGCAATCAAGTCAAAACATTGATTACACAACAGTCTCGTTTCCTGTTGACTGGGTCCCGTCCTATTCCGCAACTTAGTACAATCACTGGTCCAGAGACCTATTCATTTACCTGGATACACAATTATTAATCAGTATTATTTGATACATCTAAGCACTTCTATATTGCAACACCACGCTCCTTCTAATCCTTGCACACACGTCGTACAGCGTGCTCTGTCGTACAGCGAGCTCTGACAAACGGAAACCTGGAAATCTCAAAACGAGGCTCTCCCGCTAGAAAAGTTTGGCGGTCTGGTACGGACTTGATATTATATCAATCACATTGCGCATTACCGAACTACACCGAATTAGCGCAAAAAATACATAACAGATGTAACCAGTGAGCCAAATGCATTTTGAATCATTTTACGACCTCAACAAACAGGGGCAGCCTGTGACGTCTTAGTTAAGGTCATGCTGCCTACACCTCGCCATAAAATATAGAAATACGATGTTATTTAAGTTTAAAATTAAAATTCATTTTAAAAACATTTTCTTACGAAACAAGGAATTGGAATTCAGTGTAACCATAGTTGTTTGTGATGTCTATTTTTACTTTCACACGAGAAAATTCGGATCGACTGAAAAGTAGGTCATTGTCTGAATAGGTTAATGAGACTGATGTTTCGGTTTGAGACCAAGGTCCCCCAGAAGCTACTGTAGTGTCTAAAACCTCGGAATCTTATCTGAGAGAAATACTTATTAGGAAGCTTTCGAAAGTGGTGCCATGACTCTTGTATCTGTCAGAGAATGGGCGTTTTGCGTATTAATTTCAATGTCTAGCATTTTGAGCTGATGAAGTAAATCGACCCTTAAACCACTGAGGCAAACATATTCGTCATTCCCGCACCATTTCTCGCCGACACGTTAAGTTTCACGTAGTTGTAGTTTCACCTCGTGGAAGTTACACCTAGTTATAGTTTCACCTCGTTGAAGTTACACATAGTTGTGGTATCACCTCGTTCAAGTTTCATCTACTTGAAGTTACACATACATGTAGTTGTAATTTCACCTAGTTGTAGTTTTCGCATCGTTGAAGTTGCACCTTGTAGAAAATGCACCCAGTTGACGTTTCACATAGTTGTAGTTTCACAGTTGAAGTTTCACCTACTTGTATTTTCACCTAGGTTAAATTGGCAAAAACTGTGACAAACACTGGGATCTTAGCAGACGCTTATTGTAAATATAAAGCCTACAGCAAAAGATCATCCTCACAAACAGATTCCTGTGGTGAATAGAAAACCCACAGCATTCAGCGGATATATATAGCAAAAACATATTTTCTCTCCTTTTTATGTTCCATGCATTTTCATCTACTTTTCTCTCTTTCTCTTTTTATGTTCCATGCATTTTCATCTACTTTGTGTATGTACCCCTTGAAATTCTAACAATTAGTCATTAAGAGACGTGATTAGACAAGTATTACCACGCAAAACACAAGTCATGCTTATGAATGTATACAGTTGTCTTTTCTTAAGAGTTAGGAAACATATATATCTTACAAACTTACTAAACTTAATCCTTGAAGATCCAGGTTAGAATTGTTCTTCTGTACGTCCTGTCATGCAAGGCGATAAAAGGTCCAGGGTGGTCCAACTCACTGACGTGGTTGCTGCATGTCATCGTATCACAACTGCGTAGAGCGTGATGATATCATCCACGAGCTAAACAACATGATCATGACGCCTTGGTTCCTCTGACACACTGTCTCCAGGGGAGAAACTCAATTGTAAAAATAAATAAATTATGCAACGGCATCTCTACTCAAAACAGTTTATCAAGCGATATGAAAAGGGGTACCACTAGATACAGGGTTACTGGAACATGTACTCGAAATCGTACTGCATTAGGTCAACGAAGTTCAAACTAAACGTTCAGGTCGTCCCCTACAAAAAGGAACGAGTTTAAAATTGCACAATTTGTACCTATACATCCGGTATATGGAGGACAAAAGGAACATGTATTTGTTTAACGGGTGTGCTGTACGATTATGGTGAACCTGTCAGGTATGTTTAGAGTTTGCACAGAAACGCAGTCTGGTTCCTGTGCTATGTTCCACTTGTACTTCCCCGACCTAGGTAAGGCCTGCCCAGTGACGGCCTTCACATTAGGCTAACAGACGTGACAGGTGTATCATAGAGAAACGATAGAACGGGTGGTTAGAAATGTCTCTTTAGTGACCACTGCTGCAATGTATACCTGTCGAAAAACCGCGTTGTTAATTTTAGCGACGACACCCGAAAATCGTCGTCAAACACATCCAATAAGGTTGATACAGGTTGGATCCATACTGATTGTCTTTCATGATATGGTCTGTCAAAATGACAGAAAGATATATTCTTTGTTCGGGTTCGATGGGTACAATGATTGAAGCCCTTTTCTGGTGTACCCTGCCGTGATATTGCTGGAATTTTGCTAAAAGCGGCGTAAAACCATATTCACTCACTCACTCACTCATTCAGGAGTCAGGTGTCGGAATCCGTTGCATGAACAAGAGATATACACAAATAAATTGTTGATGAATAAGAATGCATACAGCATGTGAACAACGTTAACCTTCAGGATAATCACTGTGATACAACGTTGTTGGATCACGGTTATCACATGCAAAACCAAAGTGCATTGTGGCAGTCGACGATAGACTTACTTGTGTTTGTGACGGATGCCACCAGTGGGACAGACAGGATACGCTCAACTCTTCACAACCACCTTCCAGCATCAGTATTCGATAGTAATTCATACACACATGCTCGTGATAAAATCGGAAATAATTAGGAAACGGGATTTGACGCGTTTAATATATGACTCACCATCACATGTAGACGATGCCAAGTGGGCGAGAAAAGGTGATAGTATCCTGTCCTTGACGTGAGATAGAATGTACATATATAAAACACTGACAGGAACATAATACCTCATTATTAAGATGTTCTATAATTCAGCCCAGCTGTCAAAGTTGGTACATATCCTTTATGGTATGACTTATGCCATTTGTCTCTTATGCAAGTTTTGTTCTCGGTTTAAAATGTACTCAGGTGCATGGTCGTGTCAACTCATCACGCCAGATGTTGCTAGAGTTCTTAATTACCTTGAAAAGTGTGTCGACGGCCAAATATAATGCCAACCTCTAGTATATCTTTCGGGTATCTGGGAAGGAATACATTTACGTTTTGCAAAACACAGCACTTAAACCTAACCCTTTTCATCTCCTAGAGTGTTTCTAAACATTAATTTCATCTACAGTAACCCATGCCTCAGGCATCAGGTGATCAGGCTTTGTTGATGCACATCACCATATACCATTTACGTAGATGCATTGTATTGTCTGCTACAGAGACGAATATCTACAGCCCGCCGTCACATAGATGGAATATTGTTTGGTGTGTTAATCAACATCAAGCAAATAAAACTGGTGTTGATATGTTATGACTGAATATTCGGAAATTCAGTATTGCTGAGTATATTATTAACTGATATTGCAATATGCATCCCATAACTAATTACTTGCATTTCGTACATGCAGAGAATGCACTAATAATCCTCGAACATCATGACATTCGTTTCCGGGTCATCGTGACCTGGGTCATTCCCTCGATCATTAACAAATACTACACTCTGTACAACTGACGCCAGTGTCTCCGCGCGTCACCCTCGTCCTCAGACTGTTGTCTTGTTTCTTTATAACAGCTGATGGATCGTACTTGGACACTTGTGAGAATAATGCACTTCTTTCACGTACACTTAACATCAGTGCTAATAAAACACAACTTAAATTGGTATCGTGACGAGACTACGTAAATTAGTTTTCGCCGAGGTTGTCGTTGTGTGATTCCGTCTTTAGCAGCGTTATTCAGACGTAGTATTTGGCTCATAATTAAAATCTTAAGTTAAAATCTAACCGTAACACTGCGCAAATACACTATTAAGGTGTACTCAAACGTAAACTTGAGATAGCTTGTAACATGATAATTCGACCAATGACGTCAGGTTGACGACTTGCATGTAGTTCTTCCATAAACTGCTACATGTCGGAAGAGGAGGAAATAAGTCTGTATGTTTGTTAGCGCCAGACATGGGTCTTTAGGGCGGATCTAGAAATTTTCCATTGACAAACTTTGCCTGCGTGTTTTTCGCACACAAACACGCGTAGGTGCGTATAGGCATACACAAATACATGAACTTTCGTCATTTCCTAAACTGGATGTAATGCCTTTAAGAGGAACCATTATCAAAGAATAATCAATATGAGCGTGGCTTAGGACTTCAATGCAAAGCCGGAATGAACGTTTCACCACATTTAGTTTCGGGTTTTCAGCGTCCTCACAGACGTATTGTGTATCACGCCCTGGAACTCTGTGTGACAATACCGCTTCTCTGTGCACATCTAGAATCTAACCAACACTTCTCCGTGTTTTAACAACCAGATACAGGCGGTCTGTGTGGCTCACTCATTATAACGTTTGTAAAAAGATTCTGGTTCGATGAACAATCAGAAGAACGTATATTGACATTCTTCAATCGGTGCTGTGAAACCAATTACCTGTAGTCATGCATTTGCCCAACGTGTGGATCTAATGTCAAGTCTTCTAGGAAAAACAAAGATGTGGCTCCTTTTAAAAATACATCTAAATGAA